ATTGTGGCCAAAACCCAGTGTCGCGAAGAACACGACTCACGAGATCATTGGCTCGTAATCGACAGACAAACCGCAGACCAATTACAAGACAAAAAGCAAATACTATTCGCGACAAGAATGGTGTCCACAATAACGGCAAGAAATTCATATGCGATGAACAGAATTGCGGCCAAAAGTTTGTCACAAAATCACAATTAAAGGCTCATAAAGACCGACACAATGCGACCGCTCGGCCGAGAAAGTCATTTATTTGTGCCGTCAATGACTGTAAACGACGTTTTCGATCCGCAGCCGGACTAAAGATACACAAATCTAGGATTCATTGTACGAAGAAATTGCTGTCTAAACAAATCAATTGCAGTCAAGAACTCAATTGCGGACAAGAAATTGATTGCAATCAAGAACTCAATGGCAATCAAGAAATCAATTGCAGTCAAGAACTCAATTGCAATCAAGAATTCAATTGCAGTGAAGGAGTCATTAGTAATGATGGCCTCTTTGAAAGCCAACCCATATCTATTGGCCCACATATTCAGCTATTCATTTGCACATATCATAATTGCAATGAATATTTTGTCACCAGACAAGCCATGTCTCAGCACAGAATCAATGTTCACTATAGAGTGAATGTCTTTAAATGCAATGCCAAGAATTGTGGCAAAAGTTTTGGCCGCAAAACAAACCTAATTCTTCACAAACGCATTCATTTGGCGAATAAGCCATACGTTTGTGGTTTCGTTGATTGTAAGGCCAGTTATTCGCAGGCCTTTGGTTTGTATCAACACATGATCGTCGCTCACATCAAACCAATCAAATCGTTGTCTACTTTTGGCCATAAATTGTCCCGAAGATCACACAAATCGACCCAAACTTAATCATTAGATTCAATACCCGCTGATAAGTGAAGACATCAAAGTGAAGACAATTACGAGTTAAGTAAGCGATTGGAAAATCAATAAAAAGTAAGAAATTGAAACTAATGTTATGACTAATCACTCAATTACTTATATTTAATTACAACATTTAATAAATCATTGAATTTAGTAAAACCTAAACCTTCTCTTTACTCAATCAACTAATTATTATATTTGTTTTTACACTATTTTTACATAATATTTGTTTATTAATTTGTAATAATTGTTTAGCCATTCAATTATTCTTATCTCAAGAATTGTATTCAAATTAATATTCTTATCAATAGAAATATTGTTTAATCATTAATTAATAATCAATTGAAAGAAATGCACTCATAATTAATATATGAATCAATTTATTATCCTTTGATATCAGTGTATAATTAAAACGAGATTTTCTTATATAAAAACATTTTTTGTCCACAAAATAAGAGCACATATTGTTTTACACAACACTTGAGTCGCGACACAACACTTACAATTAAAAGCCATTTATATTATAAATACAATTACAATAAAATGTATTACAAAACATAAAAGAGTATTTCATTTAAAAGACATGATCTAAATATACAAATATATTAACAATTAATTTCCACAATCAATCAAAAATAAAGTCTTGGATTAATGTTTTTGTTTCTCATTTAAAATACATATATAAAGACATAAAAACTTTGTATTCATTATTTCCAATAATATAAATGCATTTAAAAATAATTTCCATAAAAATCTAAAATGTATTTCATATATAAAAAGCTCAATAAAAAGAAAGAAAGAGAAAACTTTGTAAACGAAATGCACATAATATGTGATATATTATATTGATGTATGGTTTTAGGTCTGTCTCTCCCTTCACTTCATGTAAAATAAGATGTGTTTTTGTGTTTAACAATCTCTCCACTCTAATAGTAGGTCTCCTTCTCGACCCAACCGCCGGGATTGCGGCGAAGAATATACCGTCGGATCTCGTCGTAGATGAAGATCATGATCGCGAACGGTATGGCCACTAACCACCAGTTGAATCTATACGCAAAACACACATCGATAGGCATTAGATTAAATTACAAGGCTTTCGGTAAATAATTGCAAATTGCAATCATTAATAGACTCACTTCATTGGATACATTCGGAGCGCTTTATCCATTCCCGGGCCGTACGACAGAATACAGGCCAACACTGTCTCGAATAGTATACCAAAATTGAGCACATGATTGCTGTGGAGGACAGACAGACAGACAATAATGTTAATTATGGTAACAATTATTAATAAATAATACTGAAATACTCACTCCATTCCCTGGTGTACAATAGAGTTGCGACGAGTTTTACAGATGATTACGTCAGCCCATTGGACGATCACAATCTGTTTGCCACAACACCATTCAAAATACAATTAATTAATTATATTTTCCTTTTCATAATAGATATCAATCACTGACCGAAATGAAGAAAGCCGTATGACATGTGAATTCCAGCACTTTTCGGTCATTATATGTCTAAAACAAAATTAAAAAAGTGATTAACAAAGTGTTTGAGCGCTCGCATAGGGCTGTCATCGATGGCGTACCCATTCCTGGCCGTAAGAGTCTCTCACATCGTTGACAGCTTTGGAGTCCCAGTCTTTGCGGATACCAATCAAGTCGCTCATCCAAAAGCCATTTTCACCCATTATGACAAAGTAGGTGAAGAAGCCGGCGCTGGCCTGCATCATACCGATCTGGCCGTACGACATCGAGATCAGCCTCTCGTTCACCAGCTTATCATTCTTGGCGTCTCTCGGCTTTCGTTTCATGATATCGCTCTCCGCCTTCTCGTAGGCCAACGAAATGGCCGGAACCATATCTGTGCCCAAATCGATGCACAGAATAGTGACGGTTCCCAACGGCAGCGGAACGTCGGCCAAAATGAACACCAAGAATGGCGATATCTCCGGTATATTACTGGTCAGTGTGTATGCGATCGACTTTTTCAAGTTATCAAATATAAGCCGTCCTTCTTCTACACCCGTCACTATCGACGCGAAGTTGTCGTCCAATAGTATCATATCTGCCGCCTGTTTAGACACATCGGAGCCGGCGATACCCATAGCTATACCGATATCAGCCTTCTTCAGAGCTGGCGAGTCGTTGACACCATCGCCAGTGACGGCCACAATAGCTCCCTGTCGTTGACAGCCCTCCACTATAATCAGCTTCTGTTGCGGTGACGTCCGGGCGAACACAATCTCCGTGTGGTGATGAAGAATATCGTCCAATTCCTCTGTAGATATTGTCTTAAGCTGCGAGCCGTGAACTATGGCCACCTTCGCCTGTCTCGGGTCCACCTCTTCGATGGGAATATTCATGCGTTTGGCGATGTCTTCAGTGGTTTCGTTGCCTTCGGAGATAATGCCGACGGCTTTGGCGATGGCCTGAGCGGTGATTGGATGATCGCCGGTAACCATAATCACTTTAATACCGGCGCTGCGACACTTGGCCACGGCGTCGGGCACAGCCGCTCGCGGCGGGTCTATCATCGATATGAGTCCCAAGAATCTGAGACCAGTCAACGGGAAGTTATTATCGTCGCCATTAAACTCGTAGCCCTTCGGGTAGTCCTCTTTGGAGAGTCGATAGTCGCAGAAACCGATCACCCGTTCGCCGAGTCCGCCCAACTCGAGGTACGCGTTGTTGAACTTCTCAGCCCAGGCCTCGTCCAGATCGTGATCCTTGCCGTTGATGTAAATACTTGTGCAGCGCTCGAGTATACGCTCCGGCGCTCCCTTCATGCACAACAGGTAGTGATCTTTGCTGCCGTCGACGCCGCCCTCCACCTCGTGAATGGTTACGTGATATTTGTTGGTCGAGTTGAATGGGATTTCGCAGATCTTGCGATTCTTCACCCGATACGTGGGCACATTCCCTACGGCCAGTTCCATGCACTTGAGTATCGCCGACTCGGACGCGTCACCCGTGCACTCCCTCTTCATCACTGGGATGTGGTCCTGTCCGGGAAGGAACTCCGCTCGCGAGCAGAAACAGGCCACTCGTGACAGCGCTTTCCACACATACGATGACTTGTCAAATGAGACACCTTTTTGGTCGTGAATATAAGTGCAAAATGATTGTCAGATAATGTGTTTTATGGCAGACAGTAGTGTTATTTTTGTTGTTGTTATAAAAAACCTGTTTGTTCTTCAGTGGTGTCCGCGTCGACGATCTGATTGTCAAACCAGAGATGAGAGACAGTCATTCGGTTCTGTGTTAAGGTTCCCGTCTTATCCGAGCATATGGTGGACGTCGAGCCCAGTGTCTCCACGGCCTCCAAGTTCTTCACCAAACAATTCTTACTCGCCATACGTTTGGCCGTCAGAGTGAGACATACGGTCACCGTTGCTAACAGTCCTTCGGGAACGTTGGCCACAATAATGCCGATCAAGAAGATAACGGCGTCCAACCAATGGTAGCCCAAAGCGAACGCAATGATGAAAAAGGAGACACCGAGGAAGACGGCCACACCGGTGATGATGTGTATGAAGTGAGTGATCTCTTTGGCAATGGGTGTGTCGCCCATCTCCAGACCAGAGGCCAGATTCGCGATACGGCCCATAACTGTACGGTCGCCGGTGTTGATGACAATTCCTCTCCCGTTGCCCTCAACGCAATTGGTCGAGAAAAAGGCCACATTCTTCGACTCCAGGGGATTATCATTCGTACACTCGGGAGACCGGGACTGGGGTTCCGATTCGCCGGTCAGCGACGAGTTGTCCACTTTGAAGCCGTGGGCCTGAATGACCCGTATGTCGGCCGGTATACGATCGCCGCCTTTCACTTCCACCACTTCTCCCAACACAACCTCTTCAGCCGGAATCGTGTATTTCTGTCCATTTCGGATGACTGTCGCGTACTATACAACGCGTCCATTCGTTAATTATTATAAATTAATTCATTATTAATTAGTTTATAATTTATTTATAAAAACAATTAAGAAAAATAATTATATTTGCATTCAATACTCAAATCTTAAGGCTATTAACGATAGATAACAAGCGATTACGACATTAGAAAAAGAAGAAAAGTTAATGAATAGAGACTTTCATTCAGTTAGTATAGGCTTTGACTTTGTTTTTCATTCAAAATCCTAATGAATAAAAGTCATTAAAAGTAATTTTATAGTTTCGCTAATCATTTAGTGTTTATTAAAATGTAATTCTCTGTCTTTTCGCTCTCTGTCTGCATATTATTAATCAGATAATCAGTAAATAATGTTTTTATCTCAACATATAATACATGTTAAACACTATTAGCAAAGGAAAGAGCGATAGAAAGAAAGTGCACAAAATTCAATGTCGTCTCGCATTAGTTGTTTGAAAGTAATGCAAAAATTTTACAAAATCGTTAAAAACGACTTCAAATGCATAGGAAAGAAGTCATTAATCGCGTCGGCAATTGAAGTCTTCATAATCTAATAATAGCTATCGTTTTGTGTTAAACCTTATGTTAAGATAATGGCTAAGAATCGCACGTTTCGTACAGTAAAAGAGAAATGCATTACAAATAAATTATCGATAAAAATAAAATGCTTTGAAGGAAAATATTTTCGTGTGATTTATTGGAAAACTTATTACAAATAATTATTCTTATGTAATGAATGGTAAGCTTTCGAGAGAGAGAGAAAGAGAGAGAGAGAAAGAGAGAGAGAAAGAGAGAGAGAGAGAGATCGTGTGGGAGTAAGAATAAGACTAATATATTTAATAAATATTTATAATTTTGCTTTAGAAATAATCAGTCTATGACTTAACTATAACAATACACTATAGGTTTTTCTCTTATATTGCATAATAAATGTATTTATGTCTTAAACATAAATGAATCCATAATTTTTCAATAAACAAAACGTCGGTTTCCAAGAAGTGTCGAAAGAATAATAAAAATATATTTCCAGCAAAACATTTCAAATGCAATTTTTTGCCAAATAATTTCGATTCATAACTGTATCTATCATTTCGTTATCTATTTATAAAATGCAAAAACAGATTCATTTGCACTGATTTTCTCAAACGACATATAAATATAGTGTAAATATGAATAGTATCGCAGATTTAGTCCAATAAAACTGCATTTTAAAGTTTGTATTTTATCTATCAATCAAAATGAAAGTATTAATTCAAACACTAAATCTACTATAAATGAGTGCTTTTTAAACAACTTTTAAATAGAGTGAGAGAAACATAAATAAATGGATAAATGATTAGTGAAAGAGACAGAAAGAGAGCATTGAGGCCTTAACAGAGAGATTAGAAACACTAGATATTGGAGAAAGAGAGAGAGAGAGAGAGAGAGAGAGAGAGAGAGAGAGACGTAATCTAAAATCGAAAATATTTTCCACATTTTATTCATAAACTAAAACTATGAAAGAAAGTCAAAGAAATAGTGTATTAAATAATTGGGAAAAACATTGATATAGTAATGACGCAAATTGTATGATAAGTGAGAGACAGACAAACGAGTGATCAACACATACTTGTGGTATCATATTCTTGAATGAGTCCATTATTTTGGAGCTCTTCGCCTCCTGATAGTAGGAGAAACATCCGGTCACTATCACCACCGATGCCAACACTATTCCTAGATATAACTGTCCATTCAATCAACAAAAAAACAGTACAATCATTATTAGTGTGAATAAAAATATATGATTTATGATATCATTTATAATTAAATTCATTGAAAAATATGTGTAATTATAGAGTGTGTGTGAAAGAGAGCCGGGGATGACATAAAATATTAATTGCAAATCATTAGCGCAAACAGTTTTTTATGTCATATGTTTTTACAGTAAAATTTTTTTTCTAGAGTAGAGTTTATGAACTCATAATTCAAATGTATGAATGAATTATTAATTATACGAGTAATTCATGTGACGGTTAGGGATAGGGATGGGAGGTGTCGTCGGGTGTAGTGTATATGTACTCACATTATCATCAGGTGCCTCATCGAAAGAGGAGGCCTGAATGCCATATGCGATGAAACAAAGTATGGCACCGATCCATAGCAGTAGAGCGAACCCTCCGAACAGATTTTTGCTGAATTTAACCCATTCTGGTGTCCGTTTTGGCGGCGATAACGCGTTCAGACCGTCTCTCAGCAGTACCTCATGTGCCTGTTCTGGTGTCAGACCCTATCATACAAAATACAATACAAATATATCATATCATATAACTTATTATTTAATGTAATACTTATTCGAGATTATAGTTTTACTACTATTATTACACGTAACTGTTATTATATACCTCTAGATAATTACAAATACATTATTTTATGTTACTTAAGACAATTGATATCCTCTCTGTTATCGGCAGACAGTGAGAAAGCACTTGATTTGTGATACTTTAAGCCCCGGGAATAACATTAGCGTTCATTATATCTGAAGAGTTTTATGAGATATTTATTACAATAAGTGATGAGAACTTTAAATATCTAGTGTTCAGGAAATGTCAATCAATTGATGTATTTCATGGGTTTCCACTATATTTGCGTTCAATATAGTTATTGGTTATCAATAGTTTAATATTAATATTTATAATACAAGTGATAGTATTTATACAGTACTGAACAGTGTATAACATATTTCGCGAATACACAGTATGTTTGGCAAACATATTATGTATTTAAGCACTTGTTTTTGCCAATAATTGCCCAAATGTTGACATAATTAGAGAGAGAGAGAGAGAGAGAGAGAGAGATCGTGTAGGAGTAAGAATAAGACTAATATATTTAATAAATATTTATAATTTTGCTTTAGAAATAATCAGTCTATGACTTAACTATAACAATACACTATAGGTTTTTCTCTTATATTGCATAATAAATGTATTTGTCTTAAACATAAATGAATCCATAAGTTTTCAATAAACAAAACGTCGGTTTCCAAGAAGTGTCGAAAGAATAATAAAAATTCATTTCCAGCAAAACATTTCAAATGCAATTTTTTGCCAAATAATTTCGATTCATAACTGTATCTATCATTTCGTTATCTATTTATAAAATGCAAAAACAGATTCATTTGCACTGATTTTCTCAAACGAAGTAGTAAAACTATAATCTCGAATAAGTATTACATTAAATAATAAGTTATATGATATGATATATTTGTATTGTATTTTGTATGATAGGGTCTGACACCAGAACAGGCACATGAGGTACTGCTGAGAGAGAGAGAGAGAGAGAGACTAATGGAAAGGGGATGGGAATGGAAAGCGAGAGAAAAAAAACATAACTTATTGTGTAATATTTTAAGAGTATATTAAATAATGAATTTGTTGTTATATAAATATCATGTGAATAAATGCTTATGCCTTTAGGTCTACTGTATTTAATGTACACTTTTGTTACATTTATGAGACAATTAGTATACAATTGTATTATATATTTGTAGGTAAAAAGAAAGGCACAAAACTTTTATCTCTATATTATTTGCTATTCAATTGAAAGGGCAGAGAGAGAGAGAGAGAGAGAGAGAGAGAGAGAGAGAGACCTAAATATGTTTAGCTATTAATATATGATCTTTGAATCCATAAGACATTGAATGGTATTAAAAATGATCATCAGATGTGAATCGATTGGACAAACAATTAATGGCTTTTATATTTGAAATACGAAAACCATTTATAATCATATAATAAAATGCAAGAAAATATATGAACAAAAAAAACTAATGGTTAGCATAAAAGCAAAAACTTTCCATCGCTTATAAAGGCTGGCCTTCGGTCCCTATTAAGCGCTTAATAACACTGTTTATCATAACATGTCTTAAGTACTGGTAATGTATGTCTTCGCACAACAAGACACTAATGGCAACACATTTTCACATCTAATCAACACTTTGTTTGAGTGGATGTGTTGTCCCTTAAAAAACAAGACAAGACAACACATAAGACACAGGTGTCTATCATAGAGGAGGGGGTATAGAGAGACGGGTAGAGGGGGTATACAGTATTGACAACAACAAGGTATAAGTGGCAAAACACAAACAACACGCACAACAACAACAACAACAACATCGATGATGGTTACGGTTAACGTACGAGATCGGGATCGGTGGCCAATTGGGCGCAGAGCATGTCGAGTGGGATGCGGTGCTCCTCCATGGTCACCTCCTTCTTCAGCTCTTCCAAGTCCTGCTTCTTGCGACCCATGTGTGGACTCTTCTTGTATCGCAACAGTTTGGGCCGACCCTCGGGTGTGAGTCCGTCGTCGGGCAGATCGGGACTGACGGCCAGCCGATAGCTGCCGGTGTCGTCGCCCTTGTTATAGGACGACATGGTGTGCGTGGGCTTCGGGTGCTGTCACCGCAAAACTGTTGGTCACTCTACTTATGACTTGACACTTGGGTTGGCCGCAAACCAAACACAACAAAAACACCTGAAAAACTGTGTGACTATTACTGTTGTGTTGAACACAACACTCACTCTCCTCTATGAATGCAATGCCTTTTTCAGTGGCTTTCAATCCAAACCCAAAGCCTTAACTCTCTCTCAATCATAGAGTGAATGCTTTGCACACAAAACCAGAATTTGAAATTCAAGCCAAAACACTGGGCGAACCCATCCCTCACGTCACACAACACACACACCGTGTAGTCATAGCAGGGATGGCGAGAGAGCAGGCGCTACACCAGGCATACAGTATACCCAAATACATGCCCCACCACTACTACCACCACTTCTACCATCACACTGTATCACCACTGTTTGCATAACCTGCCATTGCCTACCCATCACATCACCCCCGAGAATGAATAAAATGTTTTATTACTGTTAAACCAATGTATGTCAGTCCCCCGGTTTGCCCCCCTCTCCATACACTTTTACCTTATTGCAAACTACAGTATATGTGCACATTGTCTCTCACAGTAGTGTTGGCCAATTGCCAGCCCTATTGAATAGCGCGAATTAATACCCGGCGTTGCATTTATATAATGCATGTGAATTATAAATTATAAATGACCTTGCTACATTGTCTGCTAAGTGTTCACGAAACATCATTTGACAGATAGTTATTCTAATCAATACATTTAGTTAAGACTATACTGTACTGTGAGACCCATTCCGCTGTTCACGTGTTAGTTAACCCGGCTTTAAATGCTTGAGGGCCTCAAACACTTGCGTAACTTTTAATTAGCCAAGGTGATACCATAATTGATTAATCAGATTCATTAATTTAATGGTATTTTTCACCTTAAAATAAGTTTTATTTTTGCCCACTTGTTTTGTTGCCAACAAGTCTAGTAAAGCAACTTTTTTAACGTCATAAAATGTGTGAATATGGGGACAAGCAAGGTAAATATTGAAGTGCAGGGTGATATTTTTAAATCTACATTGTTCCAATTAAATTCTTGCGCACCACTGCATCTCAGCCCCCTTTATAGCGCACGTCCTGTACGTAGGGCTCAGTTAAGTGGCAGATAATAATAATCAGTCCATTGGCATCAATGGTACAACTCATTGTAATGAACAGTTCCGTTGCGGACAACCAGTTAATGCATATACACTGTACACAACAACCATCATCACCTCCTCCCCGCTGCTCTCTCTCTCTCTCTCGTCAGTGTATTGTGAATGGGATTAAGAGAGGAATGAAAAAAGAGAGGCGTTGAGAAAAATGCATTAATTTTATACAAAAATGTCAAAATATAAGTGAATTAATTTGATTTAATCTGCAGTT